GGGATCGAGCCCCACATAGGGCTCCCTGCTGAGCAGGGAGCCTTCTCCTCCCTCTCCCTCTCCCTGCCGCTCCCCCTGCTTGTACTCTCTCCCTGTCTAATAAAAAAATAAAAAATCTTTCAAAAAAAGGAAAAAAAAAGACAAGACAGTACAAACCAGACTAATTGGCAGCCCATCAAAAACTGTTGTCTGGTCAATTTCCTTTAAGATAATAGAAAAAAAGAGAGGACAAGGCATTAAGATTCCGTCATGTTAAGAAATTTCCTGCTAAAATGTTACTTGCTGTGCGTAGACAGGATTTTTTTTTCTCTTTAATTTTTCATATAAACTAGAATAGCATTGGTTCTTTCTCTGGTATTTATTTCCCAAACTTGACAAAAATAGGTCAAGTTTATAACGTAACCCCCATGAAGATTACTAGATCTTCAACATTCTGTAGGAAATTAGTTGGAGAAAAAAACACTTAAATTTCAGGACAATTACTGAGTCTAAGAGTTTAGAACTAAAAGCTACCTCCAAAGCATTTGAAATGCTGTTAATGGCTACTCTGAAGTGATATTACCAGTTTCTTCATATGACCCAATTCTTTCTTTTTCTTTCTTTCTTTCTTTCTTTTTCTTTTTTTAGAAGTGGAGGTGGAGGTGGGAGAGGAGCAGGGGCAGAGGAAGAGGGAGAATCTCAAGCAGGCTGCACACCCAGCACGGAGCCCAGTGTGGAGCTCAGTCTCATGACCCTGAGATTATGACCTGAGCCAAGATCATGATCTGAGCCAAAATCAAGAGTTGGACACTTAGCCAACTGAGCCACGCAGGCGCCCCTGCGTGACCCAATTCATTTTTTAAATGATAGAAAAATATTAAGTGAAATCTTAAAAAACGACTCTGTCACTGAGGTCAATTGTACAGGGAAGGGTGAAGAGCTGAGGTCTAGCTCAGCTGTCTGTAGTTTACCATGTAGTCATGGGTAAGTCACTTATCTCTTTGCCTCAGTTTCCTTATCTACCAAATAAAAGTGAGTAAATTGAGATTCCTTTGTACTCAGACCATGAGGAGTGGAGCTGGACCTTATTCCCCAGGGACACATACACAAAGGCTCACGTTCTGCTCTTGGGCTGTAGCGCACGCAGGTGTGTGTGTGTGTGTGTGTGTCTGTGTGTGTGTGTTGCTGTTGTTTTAAGGCAGCAATATGTAAATAAGATGCAGGTTATGCATAGTTCCGGTTCTGATCCCACCCACTTTTCCACAATGAACACTACTTTTACATAAAGAGACACAGCTCTGGAGAACTGCACAGTTGTGGGCCACGGCCACCCAAAGATTTTTTTTTAAGTGCATCAATTTTTTAAACACTAATTTATTTCTATTCATAGGATCTAATATATATTCTGATCATTACGTTCTTCCTTCCAAATCTGCTTTACTTAGTTCTACCAAACTGAAAAAAACACCTTCCTGCAAACTTCCCCTTCCAAAGAAGCCTTCAGAAGACAGAGCGCCCTTGCTCCGTGGACATCCTGATCACTCTAAAAGGCTGGATGCCCTGTTGGTCCTGTGGCTGTCTCCGTTGGAGGCCCAGAAAGGTCTGCAGTAACAGGGTTTGCCCAGGAACCTGATTGGAAGCGGCTTCTTGGAATTGAAAAGGAAAGCTGTTTGGTTTCCCAAAAGAGAGAGAAATGACCACTCGAATAACAAAGTCTAATTTATCACCTCTGAGCCCTTCTTAATGGCAGCGAGATCCATGTAGATGCCAAGCCAGACAACTGCACGTGTGTGTCTGTCTAAAGGACCAATATTCTCTTAAAGCAGTTCTCTTCATCAGTGCTCGTAAAAAGAGCAGCCGTCCCCCTGCCTGCCAGGAGCAAGGCTGTTCAATCAATTAGCGGCACTTCAGCCACCCAGATGCTTCCACCTTCTTCCGAAAAGCAGCCTTCTCCCAGACAGCTCACACTGAAATGGCACCTGCTGGCCTCCATATGACTCTCAGGCACTGATGATGACAGGCTGTCCAGCTAGCCTGTCGATTGCAGTGCTGCACGCTCAGGTGTCAGCACTTGGCAAAGTGTGTAACAAAACCAAAGTCAGATGAATCAGGACTTAGCACAACCCAGATCTGGCCACTCTTGCTAGGAATGGGACTTAGTGGGAAACAATGAGATAAGCAAGCTTGGGCCGCAGATCAGGAGCTTCACCACGGGACAAAAGACCTTCCGAAGGGGAAGTTAGGTTGACAAGGCTTTATATCAAAGTGTAACCTAGATATCTGTCATCTGGGTCTTCTCTGTCCGTTGAGATCTAAATAAACATTGCCTCAAATCACACAGCCTGTGAAAATCTGAATTCTGTGACTTAGAGGCTTAGGGTCTCTGCCTCACTCTTGTTTCTTGCTCCCCTGTCTGGTATCTTAGCTCTGTAGCTTGTCAGGTTGCTTATAAAATAGCACATAGGAGCCTGGTAGACCTTACCAAAAGTTGGTGTCATTGAGAAGAATTGCATTTCATATCCCTTCATGGCATAGTTAATGGTCCATATGAAGAGCGCCTGGGTGGCTCAGTCGGTTAAGTGTCCCGACTCGGTATCAGCTCGGGTTATGATCTCAGGGTCTCAAGATCTAGCCCCGCATTGAGGGTGGAGCCTGCTTAAGATTCTCTCTCTCTCCCTCTGTGCCCCCCTCCCTGCACCCACTCTCTCTAAAAAACAAAACAAAACAAAAAACAGTCCGTGTGAAACTTTTCTTTTGTCTTAAGCCTTGCTACTCAAGGTGGTTCAGAGGACCAGCAACATCTCCACAACCTGGGTCCTTGTTAGAAATGCAGAATCCTGGGCGCCTGGCTGGCTCAGTTGGTTAAGCGACTGCCTTCGGCTCAGGTCATGATCCTGGAGTCCCGGGATCGAATCCCACATCGGGCTCCCTGCTCAGCAGGGAGTCTGCTTCTCCCTCTGACCCTCTTCCCTCTCGTGCTCTCTATCTCTCATTCTCTCTCTCAAATAAATAAATAAAATCTTTAAAAAAAAAAGAAATGCAGAATCTTGAGGCCCATCCCACACTTGCTAAATCAAAATCTAGATTTTAACGAGATCTCAGGAGACTCTGTTCGTTAAAGTGTGAGGAGCACAGACCTAAAGTCCTTGTCCATCAGCTCCCCCTGGAGGGTTCTCTTTGGCCTGGCCCTCGCTATACACAATACCCAGCCTTTCATCTTCTCTTTCTTCCCCCTCCTTTCTCTCTGGTTCTTTCATCTCCTCCCTCCCTGAGAGGAGCCTCAAACACATTCTCTTTTCATCAGGTGCAGCCCTCCCCTCCTCAGGGCCAATCGCCACATAGGCCCTGAAGGTCTCACCAGCCATCAGCCTTCCATTCTGTTCCCAAGCTGATTAAAATGTTTTTCTAAACAAGCCCTCCCCCCAAGAGGGACTCTGATACCAACTATTACAATAAAAGAAACCTATCTCGTTACAAAAGATACCCCAGATTTTATAAAGACATCTGGCTTCCAAACAGAACCCTAAATCAATTCCAGGTTATAGACTATCATACAAGTGTTAGACCTGAGGAAACTGAGTCTCCAACAGGAAAGTAGTTGGCTCGGTATCACTTTGTAGTTCTTGGCAGGGGCAGGAATAGAAAAGTTCTTATACTTCGCAGTGTGGGCTTCTCTCCACTATGGACCTGATCATTCTACTTTAAGCCGAACCTTTATGTGGCCCCCTGCTTCTCTTCCTGCGCGGTAACTGGGTCACCTGAGCTGCACGTATGCATGGGGTATGCATGGGGCGCCTGCTATTAAGTGTCCCGACTCGGTATCAGCTCGGGTTATGATCTCAGGGTCTCAAGATCTAGCCCCGCATTGAGGGTGGAGCCTGCTTAAGATTCTGTTCGAAGATGAGAAGAGGCAAACAGAGCCCGTTTTCCCACGCCCTGTGCCTTTGCCCAAACTGCTCCCCACACTGAAGTCTTCATTCCCACCGCATCTGCCTGGCAAACCTCTCCACATCTTTGAGAATCAGCAGCTGGGAGCTTCTGGACTCCTCCAGACAACATTAATCACTACCCGCTCTGTGCAAGCTAACAAGTGTAACATTTCTCCCATTGTTTGTTAGGCCCTTCTTTCCTAGCTGTCTCCTCCAAAATCAAGTCTCCTCCAGGGAGGGGTGTACTCTGTGACCCTCGGGGCCCAGCACAGGAGAGGCTCAGTAAATGTTCTTTTTCTTCCCCCTTTCTTTCCCTTGGAAATCCCTAGCAATTAATGCTATTGGTCAAACAGATCTTGTCCTGAACTCAGCCCCTTCGTCCTCAAGCAACTTGCCCCTTTCTGGACCTGGGCTGCCTCAGACCCATCCTCCTCTGCCTCCCACTGCCACTCATTCCTCGGCCTGGCCTCTCTTGGCCAGCCCTCTTCTAGTCCGTTGCTCTCCACAGGGGCCAGTCTCGCCACCAGGACTTGTGTATGACTTTTTGAAAATCATCCTACCTTCCGGACCTCATCTACAAAATGAGTGGGTTTGCCTCATTAGCCGGGTTGCAACTCACAGGTGTGTTATTATCCGCTGTGAGGTCCTTTGTAAGTAATTGTTTCATATAAATCATAAGGCTTGCCATGGTCTTTTTTAACAAATAGAGAAGATTAAAGGTTGTCCCTGTGACTGGCATGCTCAGTTGCATTCTGATGTGCTTTCTGGAATAGGAGAAAAAGGCGTGTAGCTGCAGTGATCCCACACAGGCTTGGGCACACAACACCTTAGGACTGTGTCCTGCCTCACAGTTTTCCATCATGTGTGTCCGAACTGGGCAAAGTCTGATCTGTAAAATTCTTTTCAGCTCCATCATCTTTTAAGCTATAAGGTCTGGAGAAAAGACCAAAAATTGTGAAATTGTGGAAACTGAATTTCCAAGCCCCTCCTGTGATGTGGTAGCTCCTTATAACATTTAAATCTCACTCAGGAACATTTGAATGGGTAACAGTCTTTTAATTTTTTCCTCTGCCTCCTTGGCTTTGCTTCCAGGAAGCGAGAGGAAGAAAACAAACGAAGGGAGGCAGAACAGCAGAAGGGAAGGCTGAGCCCAGATTCCTGCAGACCCCAAGCCCTTCCCTGTCTGCCCAACACCCAGGCTGAGCCCCATGGGCAGAGCTGGGCCCCCAGCAAACAGCCTCCCACCAGCGACACAGCCCAGGACCCTGAGGGGAGAGCCTGTGGAGGATCTCCAGGCAGAGCCCCCCAGAATCTGCAGCATCTTTCCCCAGATGTGCAGGGAACAGACCCCAGAAAGCCAAACGGTACGTGTATTGCCTTTGTTACTTGATGCCATCCCACGGACTGTGGGCTCTCTTGATTGGTGTATTTAGTCCATTTACATTTAAGGTAATTATGTTAACACCGAAGACTGCCATTTTATTATTTATTTCTATTTATTTCCTCTGGTTCTCATCCCTGGTTTTTTTTGTTGTTGTTTTTGTTTTTGTTTTTTAAGATTTTATTTATTTATTTGACAGAGAGAGACACAGCGAGAGAGAGAACACAAGCAGGGGGAGTGGGAGAGGGAGAAGCAGGCCTCCTGCTGAGCAGGGAGCCCGATGCGGGCCTTGATCCCAGGACCCTGGGATCATGACCTGAGCCGAAGGCAGACGCTTCATGACTGAGCCACCCAGGTGCCCCCTCATCCTTGTTTTTTGTTTTGTTGTTTTTTTTTTTTTAATTTTTTCCCCTTCCTGTAGGGTACTTGAACATCTTTTAGGGTTCCATCTTGATTGACTGCTAGTGGTTTTGAGTGTATCTCTTTCCTCAGCTTTTGTGGTGGTTGCTGTGAGTATTACCATATACTTATATGTATAATGTATATATAAGTTATAAGGGACTTCTTATAACTAGTACCAACATTTTACCACTTTGAGTGAAATGTGGAAACCTCACTTCCATTTAGGTACCTTGACCTTCCCCACTTTTAAATATCATTGATTGGGTACCAATCAATTAGGTACCAATATAATTTATAATATATAATTATATTGGGTACCAATATAATTTATAATTGTAATTATAAATTTTGTTTCAATCATCAAATATAATTTATAAACACTATGAGGAAAAGGATCGTCTCTTCTGTGTACCCATAGTTCCACTTTTCTCTTGTTCTGTCCTCCTTCCCAGTGCACTAGATTCCCTCTTTTATCATTTTCTTTCTGTTTGAAGAAACTTCTTTGGCCAGTATTTAAGAGTAGCTCCACTAGCCACAAATTCTGTAAGTTTTCCTTTGTCTGAGAATGTTTTTTTCTTTTTTAAAGATTTTATTTATTTATTTGCCAGAGAGAGAGAAAGAGGGAACACAAGCAGGTGGAGAGGCAGAGGGAGGAGCAGACTCCCCACCGAGCAGGGAGCCCGATGCGGGGCTCGATCCCAGGACCCTGGGATCATGACCTGAGCCGAAGGCAGTCGTTTAACTGACTGAGCCACCCAGGCGCCCCTGCCTGAGAATGTTTTGATTTCATTCCTGAAGAGTTGATAAACCAGATCCAGAATGCACACTTAGCAGGTCTTTCCTACCCACACTTGAAAGAGGCTGTGCCACTTCTGGCTTCCATGGTTTCAGACGAGAAATCCACTGTCGATCAAATTGGTGTTCCTCAGTAATGCTTCTATGTAACATGTCACTGCTCTCTGGCTGCTTTCAAGATTTTTCTTTATCTTTGATTTTCAGTAGTTTAACATGATGTGTCTTGGTATGGATTCTTGGAATTTATCCTATTTGGATTTTGCTTAGTATGTTGGGGATCTCCAAGACTCCCCCCGCAAAGTTTAGTGATTTGCTAAGAGTACTCACAAGACTCAGCATATATTTGTATTCACAGCTAGGATCTTTTATAACAAAGGGATGCAAATCAAGATCAACAAAGGGAAGAGGCACATGGAACAAAGTCTGGAAGAAACCAGATGCAAATTTCCAAGAGTCTTCTCCCAGTGGAATGACACAAGACATGATGAATTCCTCCAGCAATGAATTTTTTTTCCATTTGTTTTGCTTTATTTTTTTATTAACATATAATGTATTATTTGTTTCAGGGGTACAGGTCTGTGATTCATCAGTCTTACACAATTCACAGCGCTCACCATAGCACATACCCTCCCCAGTGTCCATCACCCACCCACCCCATCCCTCCCACCCCCCACCACTCCACCAACCCTCAGTTTGTTTCCTGAGATTAAGAGTCTCTTATGGTTTGTCTTCCTCTCTGGTTTCATCTTGTTTCATTTTTCCCTCCCTTCCCCTATGATCGTCTGTCTTGTTTCTCAAATTCCTTATATCAGTGAGATCATATGATACTTGTCTTTCTCTGATTGACTTATTTCGCTTAGCATAATACCCTCTAGTTCCATCCACATTGTTGCAACTGGCAAGATTTCTTTTTTTGATGGCTGCATAATATCCCATTGTATATATATACCACATCTTCTTATCCATTCATCTGTTGATGGACATCTAGGCTCTTTCCATAGTTTGGCTATTGTGGACATCTCCAGCAGTGAATTGTAACAACTAGTTAGCCTTTCTTCTACCAGGAAAACACACCTGAACTTAGGACTCCAGGATTTTTATTCGGGTCAGTTACATAAGTACCCTCTGCCTAGCATATACTACAACTCCAGACTCCCAGAAGGAAAACAGATATTCTCCATAAATTATATCATTTGCCCAAAGCAATTTAAGCATATTGAGCCATTCTTACAAATTAAGGAACAGTGAGAGCCCTCCAGAACTCTAAGTGCAAAAGCCAACATAGTGAAAAAGGCAAATAATGTCTTAGTAGTATTATAAAAATAGTTTTGACCTTTTGGACCCCAGAAAGAGTCTATGAAATCTCATGGTGACCCAGTTCAGGGCTTGGACAATTCATTCTCTCTCTCTGAACCTTAATTTCCTTACCCATAAAATGGGTTGGGGGAGGAATACTCAAAAAACAACAAATGAATAAACAAAAAAAGCAGAAATAGACTCATAAATACAGAGAACAAACTGATGGTTGCCAGAGAGGAGGGGAGTGGGACAATGGGCGGAATGGGTGAAGGGGTGTGGGAAGTACGGGCTTCAGTTATGGAATGAACAAGTCATGGGGAAGGAAGGTATAGCACAGGGAATACAGTTAATGGTATTATCATAGTGCCTATGATGATAGATGGTAGCTATACCTGTGGTGAGCACAGCATAGCAAGATTACAATGCTGTATGCCTAAAACTAATGTAACATTGTGTCAACTATATTTCAGTTTTAAATAAGAAAAAAATGAGTGCATACTCTCTACCCTGCAAGGCAGTTATGAATAGAAATCAAATAATTAATGTAGAATCTTATTATAGCCCATGACTTGTACTAGGTCTTCAGTAACTACTGTTATTAAACCACACTGATGATCTAGCCAAGAACAGCTACATAAAAGTACACATGAATGGCCACAAACATATCCAGGATGTAATTCCATAACCCACTTTACAGTGATAATGCATCAGTAATGTATACCTTAAGGAGGTCTGATGCTTTGTTATATATTCATTTATTTTTTTTATTTATTTTTTAAAGATTTTATTTATTTATTTGAGAGAGAGAATGAGAGAGAGAGAGCATGAGAGGGGGGAGGGTCAGAGGGAGAAGCAGACTCCCCGCTGAGCAGGGAGCCCGATGCGGGACTCGATCCCGGGACTCCAGGATCATGACCTGAGCCGAAGGCAGTCACTTAACCAACTGAGCCATCCAGGCACCCTATTCATTCATTTATTCATTCAGCTGGTGTTAACTAGACTCCCGTGATGTAACAACCACATCGAATTTCCTCAAATTCTTTCTTAGCTTGAGGTCACTGCATATTACACTCCCCCATTCATATGGATAAAAGTGCCTCTTATTTTTCTGATCTCAGGATGAATGTTACTTCCTCTATACAGCCATACCTCCCCATGAAACAAGGCTTCATCTTCCTGCTATATGTTCCCATAGGTCTTCCGTACTTCCATATTAGGAAGATCATCACCTTTTACTGTTATTACTGGCTTGTCTGTTTTTTCCAATAGATTACAAGATCTGTAAGATCAGTGTTGTTTCCATTATATGCTGTTATGTAAAAAACAAACAAAAAACAAAAACAAAAACTACAATAAAACTAAGTGGCTAAGAACAACAATTTATTATTTCTCATGATTCTATGGGCTGGCTGGGCAGTTCCTCTACAGTTTCACCCGTTCTCTCACATGTGGCTACATGCAGGTGGAGAGTCAGCTGAACTGGATGGTCTAAGATAGACTGACTTAAATGTCTGGCAGTTGATACTGGCTATGAGCTGAGATTCCTTGACTCTGCTTTATATGCCTTTCATCCTCCATTAGACTAGACTGGCCTCCCTACACAGTGGTCTCAGGGCATTCTAAGAAAGCAAAGGCAGAAGCCACAAGACCTCTCGTGGAATAGGCTCCAGAATGTGCATGCTACATTCTGTTTGGTCAAAGCAAGTTATATGACCAGCCCAGACTAAATGATATGGAGAAATATACTCTACTTTTGTGCATACTAGGATGGGAGCAATTTTTTACTATTAAAAAATCTACCACAATTCCTTTTTGGTCACAGATTATTCACATTCCTCCCACATGCACAATATTCTCAAAATTATCTCAGGACTCCAAAATGTCATCTCAGTTATCACATCAAGCTTGAAGTTTGGGATCTTAAGACCTATGTCATGTCCAGATGTTGTCAAAATTCCCCAGGTGTGGGGCACCTGGGTGTCTCAGTCAGTTAAGCGTCTGCCTTTGGCTCAGGTCATAATCCCAGGGTCCTGGGATCAAGCCCCACATCGTTAGAAAGCCTGCTTCTCCCTCTCCCTCTGCCTGCTGCTCCCCCTATGTGAGCTCTCCCTCTCTGTGTCAAATAAATTTAAAAATAAAATAAAATAAAATAAAATAAATAAAGAGATTCCCCAGATGTGAATCTTTCCAATTCAGGGACTAGCCAACCAAAAACACATATTATCAACCACTCTCCACACCCAACAAGCAATGGTGAGGCAGGAACAGAATAACCACAGTAGACACCTTTGTTCAAAAGGGGAGAAATAAGAGGCACATACAAGTCACTAGTCCATAACAATTCTGAAAGCCAACTGGTGGGGCGCCTGGGTGGCTCAGTTGTTAAGCGTCTGCCTTCGGCTCAGGTCATGATCCCAGGGTCCTGGGATCGAGCCCTGCATCGGGCTCCCTGCTCAGCGGGAGGCCTGCTTCTCCCTCTCCCACTCC